CTCCCTCTCTCTCTCTCTCTCTCTCTCTCTCTCTCTCTCTCTCTGTCTCTCTCTCTGTCTCTGTCTCTCTCTTTGTGTGTGTGTGTGTGTGTGTGTGTGTGTGTATACCATGTGCACAGGCATACATGCCTGCATTCAGGGAGGCCATAGGCCAAGCCCAGTTGTGATTTTTTTTTTTCAGGGGCTGTCCATCTTATTTTTAGAAATAGAGTCTCTCACTGGCCTTGAGCTCACCATGTAGGCTATGTTGGCTGGCCAATGAGCCCCAAAGACCCACCTATCTGTGTCACCATGTAGGCTATGTTGGCTGGCCAGTGAGCCCCAGAGACCCACCTGTCTGTGTCTTCCTAGTACCAGGATTATAGGTGTGCACCATCACTCCCAGCGTGGGTTCTGGCAATTGCATGGCAGGTGCTGAATTTCCAGGCAGGTCTGCACCCGCCGACACCACATTTCAGATTCCCCCCTCCCCCACACTCTGGCACACAAGGCGATAAAACAGAAGCTTGGTGAGTAGGTCCAGGGCCCACACAGAACAAGGTGCTTACCAAGGACCTCTGTGATCCATCCAGGAGGCAGGAAGTAGTGATGAGCCCAGGGTCCATGAGAGACAAGACCACAAGAGGGAGAAACAAATCACAACGTTAGACAGGTAGGGGCCAAACAAGCTCCAAGCCCAGGACAGTGGGCCTCAAAGCAGAGCTGAACTGAAAAGGACCACACATATACCTGGTGCCCTTAGAGGTCAGAGGAAGGCGTTGGGTCCCTCAGAACTGAAATTACAGGCAGTTGTGAGGTGTCATGTGACTGCCGAGAATTGAACCCAGGTCCTCTGGAAGAGCAGCCAGTGCTCTTAACCACCGATCCTCCTCTCCAGCCCCCAATTTTAAAAAACATTTTTTATTTTTATTTATGTGTGTGTATGTGTGTGTATCTCTGTGTGTGTATATACATGTGTGTGTACCTGTGTGTGTGTTGACCACATAAATGCAAGTGCCTACAGAAGCCAGAAGAGGGCATCACCCCAGGGATCAGTGTTACAGGAAAATGTGAGTCAACAAACTTGTGTTCTCTGCAAGAACAGCAAGCTCTCTTAACCACTGAGTCATTTTCCCCAAATCCTGCTTTAATATTTTATTATTATTATTATTTGCATATGTATGTGTGTGCAGGTGTCCATCAAGAGCAGAAGAGGACATCAGATCCCCCTGGAGATGGAGTTACAAGCAGAGAAGAATCACCAGATGTGGGTGGGATCTGAACTCAGATCCTCTTAATCACTGAACCATCTCTTTAAGCCTCTTTTATAATTTTTTCAATTACATTGTGTTTATTTATTGATGTGTATGTGTGTGTGGTGTGTGTGGGTGTGTGTACATGTACGTGTGCCACAGCACACATGTAGAGGTCAGAGGACAACAGCAGGAGTCAGTTCTCTCCTTCCACCATGTGGATGCCGGGGATGGAGCTCAGGCTTAGTCGCCAGCCCCTTTTCCCTGTAAGTCATCCTCCTATTCCTATGCCTGCCTTTTTGAAGATGGAAGAAGTGCAGTCCCACTCTACCCCCCACCCCCACCCCGCGACAGTCCCTGCACCAATGGGGGACCTCCTGGCAGGAACAAGAAGGGAAAGCAAATGAAAAGAAGAAAACTGAACTTACTCTTCAATACTGTTGAAACAGGAGCATCAAGGATAGGGAAGTCCAGGTGGAGGTGTTGTTGGGTACCAGCGGAAGTGAAGGTTAGAGAACAAAAGGATGTTAGCGATGCCTGGCCTTTTCCCATCACACCAGAGCATCCTCGGAAGAGGCCCACCCCATAAGGGACATCATCCAGTCCAAATGGCACTGGTGAGGCTGTATACAGAGATACTGGATCGGCTGTGAATCATCCTTACTGCTGGAATCCCCTGGCCCCAGTTCCTCTGGGGATTCATCCTCCAGATACCTGCAGGGCATCAGGAAAGGGTCTCTACTCTTCTGTCTTATTCCGAGTGAGGGAGGAAAACTTGGTTCCTGGTATCTTGTTTTGTTTTGCTTTATTTTGTTTTCTACCTATAAACAAACAATTCCTGCGGCCCCATGCTCTAGGGAAATGGGGAGAGTGGAGAAGCTGCTCAATTCTGGGACCCCACCATGCAGCCCCAGGAAGTGGGTGGAGCCTGAAGGCCACCTGGAGTCTCCTCCACAAGTAGGGTAAATTCCTCTAAAAACAGCATTCTCCAGGGTGGGAGGTAGTGGCATAGGCAAGCCTGGTCTACAGAGTGAGTTCCAGGACAGCCAGAGCTTCACAGAGAAACTCTTGTCTTGAAAAACAATAACCAAAACAAAACAAAAAACCAAACCAACAAACAAAAACCCAAAAACAAAACAAAGCAAAACAAAAACCCCACAAAAACCAAAAACAAAAACAGTTTTCTCTTCTCTTTCCATCCCCTCTCTTTTTTCTCCCCTCCCCTTTTTCTTTCTATTTTTTTCTTTGAGATGGAACCTTATGTAGCCCAGGCTAACCTCAAACTCAATATGTAACTGCTGTAGCCTTGAGCTGCTAATCCCCAGTCTTCAGAGGGCTGGGATCAAGGCATGGACCACCATGAGGGCTGGGATGAAGGCATGGACCACCATGAGGGCTGGCATCAAAGGCATGAACCACCATGAAGGCTGGGATGAAGGCATGGACCACCATGAGGGCTGGGATAAAGGCATGGACCACCATGAGGGCTGGGATGAAGGCATGGACCACCATGAGGGCTGGGATGAAGACATGGACCACCATGCCTGGCTCCCTGCTTTTGTGTTGCCCCTCCTTCCAAGTGACCCACCAGAAGGGAGAAACTGTAGAAACTATTTCCTGTGCTAGGTGTGGTAGTGCACACCTGTAATCCCAGCACTCCAGAGGCTCAGACACGGTCAAGAGTTTGAGGTCACCCTTGGTTATATAGAAAGTACATGTAGAGACTCTTCCACCAAACACCAAAGGACATCAGTCATAAAAGGAAAAATAACTTACTTTTTACTGGACGGCGGGTTGGAAGCAGAACCAAAGGTCAAGTGGAAAAGAATGGGCAGGAAATAGAATGAATATTAGTTCCTTCTGTCCCTGGTACCTTCCATATTTTTCCCTCATAAAATGTTTTTTAAAGTATTTAACAATTGTTCTTGCGTTCTGCGGAACAAACTTGAGAGGAGACCAGGTCTGCAGGATCCCTGAGCAAACAAAGCCACCATTCTCCGGTGGTCTCAGCCTAACCTCATCTGTGGGCAGTATCAAGTCTAATTTAAGCCATTTCCCATCAACACCTACGTGGGCTGACCATCCCTAACCCAAAATGCCCTAGTGACAAGCTTTTTGAGTATCAAAGTGATGCTTGAATAGCTTCACTTTGGTTTGTTTTCATTTTTAAGGCTTATTTTGTTTTTATTTATGCATATAAGTCTGTGTAAAATGATGCCATATGTCTGTGCTTGGAGGCCAGCTGGAGTTACAGGCAATCGTAAGCTGTCTTAGCAGGTGCTAGGACACAAAC